GCAGCAATTTATTAACACATATTTAATAAGTACCTGTTATATTCCAATGAAGGAGTTTGTATACCAGTATTAATTATAAAAGCTGTGCATAAATGAGGTGACAAGTGTCTGAAGAAAGGAGGACATAAAGTAACATGAAATTTTAGAAAATAGAAAAGGGTATTGAGTCAGAAAACTTGGGTTTCAGTCCTAGTCCTGAACTTTATGTGCTCTGTGGTTTAGGAAGTTATAGGATAATGTCCTGTAGAGTTTTGGTGAGAATCAAATCAGCAAATCTATACTTTGCAAGATGTGAAGTGTTATGCAAATGTTAGGCATTTTAAAAATCATCGTTTGATGACTTTGAGAAAAAAATACGAATGTACTTTGTTAGAAGTATCAGTGTAATTGGAGGAGTTAAGGAAGTTAAGTTTCAGTCAATATCTGAGTAATAAACATAAGTTAACTAGGAAAAACAATAGCAAAACCATACTCATGTCATTCCCCTAATTCCTCAGTATTTCTTGTGTACTATTTTAATTAGTTATTTATAATTATTAATGTGCTATTTGTATTTGAGGAAGCTAAAGTTTATGTTTTATATTTTCATTTTTAGATATTCTCCGAAGAAGACGTGTTTTAGCCTTTTGTTTTATTGTTTATTCATCTCAGCCCTTTTCAGAAATGATTTTTCTTTATTTCATTTTTCTTTCTTTTTTTCTTAAGCCTGCTTATCCTGAACTATGGACCTCAATATTTTTTTCAGGAGATCTACTCAGCCATATTATTTCAAATTATACATTCATTGAATCCTCTTCTCATTTTTGTGTGCTTATTCTGTTTTGTCTGACTTCTTGCAGAACAAAGTACAATTCTTTTTTTTTATGTTTTTTGACTATATACATGATTGATTCTTGAGTAGTATGTTGCTAACTTAGAAACAATTTCTAGATGTAGTAAATATTTTAAAAACACAAGTAATACATGTTTTTGGTAAAAATTCAAAAATATGGGCCGGCCCGGTGGCGCACTGCTACAGTGCACCGCTTGAGAGCGCGGTGGCGCTCCCGCCGAGGGTTCGGATCCCACATACAGACCGGCCGCTCACCGGCTGAGTGAGGTGCGGGCGCAACACCTAGGGTTGCGATCCCAACACCTAGGGTTGCGATCCCGTTGCCGGTCCCGGTCCGGTACGGGCGCGACACTGAGGGTTGCGATCCGTTGCCGGTCACGAAAAACCGCTCACCGGCTGAGTGAGGTGCGGGCGCAACACCTAGGGTTGCGATCCCAACACCTAGGGTTGCGATCCCGTTGCCGGTCCCGGTCCGGTACGGGCGCGACACTGAGGGTTGCGATCCATTGATGGTCACAAAAAAAAAAAGACAAAAAGGAAAAAAAAAATTCAAAAATATGTATCATGGAATATACATGGAATAATACCTTATGACTTCAGTGAATATTCTTTTAGATTTTTTGCACATATTCTAATCACGTGTATCTCTAATTTTTATTTTAGAATAATTGTCATTCCACGTTTTCTATGTATACTTCTTATTTATTTAATGATATATGACTTGACATTTAAAAATGTAATATAAATGACAATCAACAAAATGATCTTTGTAGAAATTTGTAGCAATTTATTCTATACTACTATTTTTTATTGCTTCTTTTAGAATTCACGTAAGAGATCATTAGTAGCAACCTTAGCTCATAAGAGAAGCCTCTTATTTAAAAATTAGTCTGATTCTGTCGTATTATTGTTAAAGCCATGTAGAAAAAAAAATCAGTTGTATGTGAACCCAACCTTAGGTGAGCTGAGTTACAAAAAATTTATAGATATCTATACAAGGTAAAAGATCATATTTGGAATTTGGAGTGTATCAAGAAACAAGTCCTTAACAGTTTTAGTGAATGTACTGTTCTTGACTTTTTAGTTGCTTAGATGGACTTCATAAGCATATACTATACTGTTGTCTTTCAGTATCCTCGCGGGATTGGTTCCAGTACCTCCCACAGATACCAAAATCTGTGGATGCTCAAGTCCCTGATAAAATACCATAATATTTGCATATAATTTATGTGCATCCTCTCATATATTTTAAATCTTATCCAGATTACTTATTGTACCTAATACAATGTGACTGCTATGTAAATAGTTGATATACTGTACTGTTTAGGAATTAACAAGAAAATTACATATTCATTACAGACACAATTTTTTTTATTTGAATAGTTTCAATCCATGGTTGGCTGAATCCAAGGATGTGGGACCCATGGATATGGAGAGATTACTCAGTCTTAACATCATTTTTAGATCCATTACAGTATCTTCATCTTTAAAAAACTGAGCTAATCGGTTTTGTACTAAGTAGGACTCTCAGAACTTTGCTGATGTAAGAATGATTGCTTTAAGAAATAATTAAGTTAAAAACTAGGTCTGTTCTTAAATTAAGAAAAGGAAGCTGAAAATTCCCGTTGTTTTATTTGACACTTCTCTAGTTATAGAGGCATATTAGAATTTTACTTGAGACTGACATTGGAGGCTGATTTGAAATTTCATTCTCTGTGAAGTTCATCTCATTACTTACTTTTTATTTACTGTTGTATTTACTTTGATGTCTTGAGTATATGTGTGAACTTCCAGTATTCTTTTCTAAGTTGTCTTATTTGTCTTTTTAACTTCATTGTCATTGCATTTCATTCATTCACACTTGTTTATTGATATAGGCAATATATGCCAGACACTATTCTGGACCATGGGGTTACTATAATGAACAAAACAAATGTAATAGTTTATCACCTTATGAGCCTACATTCCAAAGGGGGAGATAGACAAAATATATGTATGTAAGTAAAAAATATATAGTGATAGAGTGCTAAGTTCTAAGAGGAAAAATTTAAAAGGGAAAAGAAGATGAGATATTTAGTTGGGGTGAAAGAAAGGATATTGAATGTTATGTAGGGTGGCCAGAGTAGGCCTCACTGAAACGGTGACATTTGATTAAAGACTGGAAGGAAGTAAAGAGCTATTACCTGTATGGCTGTCTGAGGTATTAATTTAAGCAGGAAAGCAGTAGGCTCTGAGGAAGGAGTGTATATAGCGTGTTTGGAGAACACGAAGGAAATGAGTGTGGCTGGAGGGGAGTGAGCCATTTTACCTTATAGACCATGGTAAAAATTTTGGCTTTTATTCTGAAGGAGATGAGAATTTTGAGCAAAGTAATGGAATGATCTGTTATAACAGGGTCCCCTGACCATGTTAAGAGTAGACTGAAGGAGGACAAGGGGAGAAACAGTATGTGTAGTTGAAATATTGTTATTGTTGTTATTATTACATGGTATACTTCTGTGATCTTTTACATTTCTTCATTCCGTAATCAATTTTATGTAAGAATGCTTTCTAGGATAATTAAGTTATTTACAGATAATCATTCTTTGAGGAAATGTAATTTATACTCAAGTTTTCTTGAAATTATTTCTTTTTATTTATCCAGATTTGGAATTAGTTTTGTAATCCAAGATTTATTATTTGTATGGTGATTTAATAATTGAGTATGTACCATGTGCCATATAGTGGGCAAAGTGGTTCGCACATTAATAATTAGCCAATCCCCACACTTATTCTGTGAGGAGATCCAAATATTGTCTCTGTTTCACCAGTTAACAAGCTGAGACAGTGAGAGATCTTGCTTAGTGTATTGCACACCTAGAAATATATTAATGTATTCAGTGTGAAATATTCTTGAACATCAAAGCTAATATTTCATAGCAGGTCTGTTTACTATCAAAAGTTCTTTAGGCAATTTATTAACAACTGCCCTGAATTAACTCTAACACAAACTGCCTTAATTATAGCCTATAGTTAAGTGTTAAAATAAGCTAATGCATGTTTGTTCCTCACCTGATGAAACAGAAATATTCATTTAAAAATTGTTTGTAAATTAAATTCTAGTTAATTGAGTCTTATTTTATCTTATACTATGGAAAAAGTGCTTTGCATTTTTAAACTTTTAATTGGGAAAATAATCTTCCAGTAATGCAAATAATATCCAAATTTAGACAGTTTTCAACGTTCTTCTTAACAGCTTTTAAAAAATGGAGCACACCTATATCCATATCTGTACATATCACCTGTGTATGTACAGGTGAGCTCTTTGTGCATAATTAGATGGAAGCTTTAATCACACTACATCACAATGCTTCTTGCATTGAAAAGTATGGCCAAATGGATATTTTTTATTTGCTAAATGTATTGCTGTCAATTAATCCATATGAACTGATATTTGAAACACGAAGACAGAGAAATGGGGTCTTGGCTGAGTTTTGAGGAAATACTACTTACCTGGTTATATGAAATAAAAAGTGCTAAGATTTGAGCATGTTGATATCTGCAGTTTTGTCACTGGCGCATTTTATTTCTTTATCAAAGGTGTGTGAATGAGTGTTTTTGGTAATGAATAATACATGGAAACCCCAGTATTGAAAACAAGTTAATACTTTATCAAAAAGTCAGAAATAAATGACCAGAGGTGTTAAAATGTTTGTTTTTTAATATTAAAATGTTTATTACTATACTGGATATACTTCCTCAAACTTTTGCCATTATTTTTGGTAATGAAAGTTTTATCAAATGGAATGTATCTGTAAACATGTAAACATAATTCTTGTTTCTTAACTTAAATGTATCCCGTACTTTGTTTCCTTTGGTTATCATTTTAGCAAAATGTATTTCATGTCTGTTTGTTAGTTTTTCTTTTTTCTTTCTTAACAATTTGAATTGCTTTTAGTCATTGTGAAAATTAATTTATCTGTCAAAAGGGAAATTTTTAAAATGTGGTCAACTTTCATTCATTCATTTTTATTTTATTTTTTTACCATCAAAACCATTTTTAAGTGTAAGTATATTCACATTGTTGTGCAATGATAGTTTTTCTTAAATGGAGCTTAATTTATCCATGAGTATAGCCTTTCTGAAACAGTGTCTTTACATTTATTCTACTTTATTGGTCTCTCTCCAGAATCTATATCGATTTGAGGGCACTGGGTTTTCAAACATCCCTCAACTTATAGATCATCACTACACAACGAAACAGGTCATCACTAAGAAATCGGGTGTAGTTCTGCTGAATCCTATTCCTAAGGTAAGTGCATACATACACTTTTTTGTTTGTTTGTTTTAAAAGAATGCTTGGTGAGTTAACATTTTCCACACTCAAAGTTCTCAGTTTATTAAAATTAAAGTTATTAAAAAAGTAATTAAAGTTCTTAGTTCAGAAACAAAAAGGTTTTGTGGTTAACACTAGTACCACTACAGTTTTGAAGCATGGAATTTCCTTGATTTTATTAAGGTGGGTTGCCTATTTATTCAGCACTCACTAGGATACAAATGACTTGATTTTGTTTTCTTTTCAGTTTTTCTTGAAAGACTTGAGGCTTTTCTTCACTTTATAAGGTTCATACTTTGAAAGGTTCAAGTTATAAAAGATTCTAACTTTTAGAAGTCAAAGAAAGGCCAGCAATTAAGAATAAATTAGATTTTAATTTGGGTGATAGGTTTACAATGTATTATAAGATACTGGTATTTTTTAAAACTACACTACTCTTCTCAAAGGCAGTAGATCATAACTTCCCTATGTAGAGCCAGGTGTCTGGGGGAGAGATTGTTGTAGGCCACTTTTACCTCTAAGATCTATCACAGAACATGCTTTAAGAGATTTGAGAGGTAAGGAATGGGTACGAGGAAGGTTTGTGTTTTTAAGGTAAAACCAGTAGGGCCTAAGCCAAAGTGGAACAGTGGAGCTGACTTAGCTTCTGAGCACTCTTGATGTTTCAGGAATTGGGTGGGGATCAGCAAGAGTCCTTTCCTTTAGGGGCTATTATAAAGAACAGTATAGAAATAGAAAAGCTAGGGCCGGCCCGGTGGCGCACTGGAGAGTGCGCCGCTTGGGAGTGCAGCGGCGCTCCCGCCGAGGGTTCAGATCCCATGTGGAGACCGGTTCCCGCTCACTGGCTGAGCACGGTGCGGGCGCGACACCGAGGGTTGCGATCCCGTTACCGGTCAGTAAAAAAGACAAAAAGGAAGAAAAAAAAAAAAAAGAAGAAATAGAAAAGCTATAAACTTGGTAGGTTGATTAGATTTTTATATATATAGGTATGATTTTTAATATGAAGTAAGTGCTAGTCCCAAGAATGCTAGTGCATAACTGAGACTTGGCTAATTGGAAATTTTTTTAAAAAGTATTTGTTAGTCTATAGAATAATGTCTATATTTGTACTTTCATTATATTATTAAATCTTCACTGAGGGGCTGAACTTTAATATTCCTCTTGCAGAACATTTTAACAGTCAGTTGCTAAACATTCTAATTCTGTGGCTAAGGAATTGAGCTTTTTGACCAATTTTCTAGGATTATGGAATTGCCTCATTCTTTGTTAATTTTTTAAATTAATGTTGGCACATTAATTATAGGAAACCAGAAAAAGTTCTTCTTTAGTCTGAAACAGGTTGTCATAGTTTTTTCTCTAGCAAAAAAAAAAAAAAAAAGTCTGCCATTGTTTCCTCTGTCATTTATGAGTAAATGCTATGGTCTTGCATAATTCTAAGATCTTTTCTCTTAGGTCAGGGTGATTGGTTCTTAAGGCTTCATTTACTGTTTATATATCAATAACTTGCAAATTTATATTTCTAATTCAGGTTAATATTTCCCCAAACTCAGATTTTTCTATTTTTCATCTTAAACTGAGTTCATCACCTTTAACTACAGAATTTGTTCTGCCTTTTTTTAAACATGTGGTACCACTAAAAACCCAGCTTCTCAAGCCGTAAATTTAGGGGTCATCTTTAACATCTCCTTCTTCACCACTGCCTTCCTTCCAGTAGTTTAAGTACACTTTGTATACTTACTTGTACATGTGGAAGTATGAAGTTCAGTTCCAGTGTATTCTAGACTGAATAAAATTCAGTATAGGAAGATAACTTCTACCCGTATTAGGTTAACAAAATATATAAACAGCTTTTCAGAGATATTGATGTTCCATTTCATAAGCCAACCAAATATTTGCACGTCTAAAGGCTAAGCCAGGTCTAAATATACAGACCAAAGCTATAAAAGAGAGAAATAACAATGCAGATATGGGCTTGAATAGAATTATATAATATAAAATAAAGCTATACCCTCACTATATAAAAATATTCCATGAAATGAACCTAGATAATGGATTAGATTCTCTGGAGTATTACATGGTCAATTATCTTTCTTTCCAACTCCTAATACTGGGGAATTGACTTTCTCATCATTCGATAGCACTAGCTTTGAAAATAAATGTACACCGGAAGCTGTAGAAGATTAAAGGGCTATATATGGTTCTTTTATGAGGTAGAAATTTAAAATTTGTCTAGCTTATTATTAACCTGACCTAAAGTACTAGCATTTGAAATATGCAACTCATTATCTTAGTCTGTTGTAAATATTGTTATATACTTGATTTAAAGAACCATGTTACTCTTTTAAAAGAAAATCACAAAGGAGAGGTTGTCAGTTAGATAATTTTCAATTATGAGTAGAGAACAAATTGATATGGATTTTGTTATGGTGTTATTATCTGTCATATATCTTCCTTTGAATTATTTGTACTCTTATCACTGAATCTATTTCTTGATTTAATTTGTGTAAGAAGTTAATATCTTTCACCATAAAATGTGCTATAAAATATCTAATTTCCGTCTTGTTAGACTTCCATTTTTTAGCCTACATAAAGAATGCTATTTTGGTCTCAATATGATTTCTGTTTCTCATTTATTTCTCTTCTCATTTATTTTTGCTCTTACTCTTGAAAATATGCTTATCATCATAATGTCTAACTGGAGGGCACAGAGGCCAAAGTCATCTCTTTTTTATCTTCATATCCTTATGCATATTCACTTAGAGATATAGGAAACTAGACAATCAGAGTTAGAGAAATTATTTAACTTTCTCATAGTAATAAAGCTAGGGGTGCCTGAGATACCCATCCCTCACCCTCAACTGTCTAATTTTTCCGACACTGCCTCCCAAAGCTTGTGTAAAGATATGGAAGATGGAAGTTGTTATTGTAAACAGAGGTTATTAATCACCCATCATTGTCATCCTTATATTAGCAAACATACTGGGCATGCACATGGCCTGTTCTTTACTTAGTTCAGTTTCTGCTCAAATGTCACGTCATCAGAGAGGCCTTCTGTAACTACCATGTGTAAAATAACACATCACCCATTTATGCTCCCTGATTCCCCTTTTTAATTTTTCTTTGTCATGGTTATGTTTACCTGACACTATAATATATGATGTATTTTAACTATTTGTCTCCCCCAAATGAAATTTAAGTTTCATAGGGCCAGAATCATATTTAACAATTAGTGCAGCTGTATCTCCAGGACCTACAAGAGTGTTGGCCCAGATTAGGTATTCAATAAATGTTTGTTGAAGGATTGAATTCATTGAGCAATTGCTAGGAGCAAGGTATTTACTGAGATTTTTATATGCATTATCTCATTTAACTCTAGCATATTCCTGTGAAATAAGTATTGTTATTAACCCATACAATGTTATGAATGAGGAGCTGAAGCTTAAAATGGTAAATGACTTGCCTAAGATAGTACAACTGATAAGAGGCAAAGCTGGGATTTGATCCCATGTTCCTAACCACTATCTATTTGTCTAGATTATAGAGTCTGGACTTTAGAGGCTAGAGTAAACTGTTTATTTTAAGGAATATGAAGGTGGGTGTAAGGAAAAGGAAGTCTCTTTGATTCTATAAAATGTTAAGTTGAAAAAAGACTTTAACATATCAGAAACTGACTATTTGTCTTTTTATTTTCAGATGACTTAAAGACTATTTTACCTTGTACTTAAATGATATATCTTGCCTCTTTCAATATTACTGTTTATAATGATTTTCCTGTTTTAGAAGCTTATGATACAGTTTTTGATATGTTGAAATATTTCTATTTAACATTTTAAGGAATCAAAGAGACTTCCTTTTCCTTAAGTCCACACCATGTTTCTTAATTCATAACATTTATTGGGTAATTTTTAAAAAAATTAAAAATTTTAATAAAGAGAAGAATGGAAAACATGTGATTCAGTGTTTATTCACTTATCAAATGTTTACTTAGTACTCTCTTTATGGTGAGCAATGTTCTGTATAATGTCAGAGTGCAGTAAATGCTATGGAAATGAAGCAGGTTAAGGAGATGATGAAGAACTAGACCTGCATGGGATGAGGGCAGGGCTTGGGTGGTGTGTGTATGCTTGTGTATAGTGGAAAGCTACTATTTTTAAGCTTCATGATCAAAGAAGGCCGGCCTCCATTATAAATTTTGGGCAGAGATGTGAATCAAACTAAGGTATTATCTGTGTGGTTATATGCAGGGGTAGTAGTAAAAGTATTTAACAGTACGGCTTGGGTAGCAATGTATCAGAACAGATGCCAGCTGTAAACAACTGGTAGAGCCATAGAGTTGTTTGCAGGGTGGATATTCTCTATGTGGATCTGGGGAAAGAGTGTTCCTTGCTGTGACTGAGGAATAGCAGAGGCTAGTGTGGCAGAAGCGGAGGAGAGAGTAATGAGGAATGAGCACAGATTGGATTAATTTAATAACTAATATATATTGTCTTGGAAAGTCAGTTGTTCATTGTATAATTTAAGAAATTCACTTTGAGTAGAAACTCAGCATAATATTTTATAATTTTTCATATTGGGTCTCTTAAAAACAAAAGATTTATGTTTAATAGTAGTAGTGAATTTCAAGGGGATATTTTAATAGTAATATGGCCATCCAAATAAGTTAGAGTAAATCTTATGTTTTTAATTTCTAATAACTTTTTTCTCCAGTAATATTATTCTTGGAGACATCTAGCTAGTCGTGCTTTTACAATTAATTCTCTTATGCTGTCATTTGCATGGGATTTTTTTAAAAAGTGTTCTGTGTTTAAAATTTGAAAAGAGATGAGTGGTTTTTTTTTTTAGCTCTTGATAATGAGATAATTAAATATCATGTCAAATTAGATTTCCAGCTGTGGAAACCCAGAGTCTGGAAAAAAAAGTACTGAACTAGAATACCTACTGTTAAGATTTCAATTTAATTGGCTTTTTTAGATCAA